TCCATTTTTGAATAACTTTATATTTTAAATCTAATACTTGGTTCAATTTGAAATTTCTGATTTTTTTTTTTTAATTTTATCGTCAATTAAAGGTTAATTATTTCATTGATTTTTCCTTTGAACTAGCATTAACACTTCAATCAACTAACAGTTTGTATTTAGAATCTCTCATATTTTTTGAATTCTCATATACTTGTATTCTAATTGGTCATCACAGGTTATGTATTAAGGGAGGTTTGATTTGATTTTAAATTTTCGAAAAAAAAATAAACTATTTTGCAATCAAAACCATCATTTGATAAGACACCAGAAGTGTTGGACAAAATGGCTATTTTTGTAGTGATTTTATAACATATTTATCTTAATTTTTGAATAAATACTATTTTCTCTACTCTGTATTGAGCACTTTTTAAAGAATAATGTTTTTGTTTATTGGAATTTTATTCTGTCTACACCAATCTTATACTTGTGTGTGTATATATATATATATATATATATATATATATATATATATATATATATATATATTTGTTCTACCTCACACATTCTAAATAATAATTTACACTGTTTATTATTAACCTTTATCACTGTATGTGATTTTATTTGCTGTGCAAAAAGTTTATCCTGCCACTGAAGGTGACTGATCCCTGAACAATAGGGTGTTTGAATTTCATAGTTGTTGTCATATCCTGCTATGGCAACAGAAAACAACTTTGAGTTAAATTAATAAGGTTACTGCAATTGAGAAGCTATGAAAAAGAATGCAGCATGCTAAAGGTTAACCCAACTTTGACCCTAATCAACTGAAACACAAAGAATTCTATGACAAATACTGAGTTCTCATTATTTACATGTTGACTATTATCATCTTTCTTGTTGGTATTATGTTTTGCCTATTATGCTCAATCCAGGTAATATTATATTTGTTGTTAGATGATTTTTGGCATTCAAGGAGGATGGATGTGTGGGTGATGTATTGTATAGCAACTCGAAATGAGAAACTGGACAGCCAAGTTCAAATCCAAGTCATCTTTGTTATATTCACTTAAATTCATACTTTACCCCAGGGTATTTGAATATATCTGCTCCCCCACTATGGGTTAAATAGTGAGGCCTGTATCTGGAAAAATCCAAAAAATTAATGCAATATTCACTCGCAAAAAATGAATTATTCTTACAATCCAAAATGTTTTGAAATTAAATAACCCACAAAGGTTGATGAGCCGTAAAAAAAAAAAATTAATCAATATCATGGCTGGTTTGTACTACTTTATAATCAAGATAATTTTGTATATTTAATTTTTGAGATGAGTAATTGTCAATATAGTTTAGTTATTTTGAACTGTTGTTTTCTTTTTGCTTGTCATGTCATTATAGCAGATAAACCCCACTTTTTCACTAAAAATGAACATAGCATGATGAAAAGGCCCTAAATTTGATGAAAACTATTTTATCATCAGAATGCTTATTGTTAAGATGAAAAACCAAAATATTTTTTTGATTATTTTAAATTTTTAATCCTTTCTAGCACATTCAAAATTTTGCTTGAAAATCTTTTTTTCCTTTGTGCTGGTGGTCTGCCAAAGGTTACTATCGGTATTCCCATGTCTTTTTTTTTTTTTTTTTTTTTTTTTTTTTTCTGGTTTAAAAAAACACAAAAATCAATTGTTGGATTTTAATGAGATTTTAAGGACCAATTCACAAATGATTGAAATTACTTTTTAAACATATTTTTATAAAAATCTTGATATATAAAATTAGGGATAATTCCAAGGACATTAATCCAAAGAAAGCTCAATGTAAGAACAGACAAATGTAATTATTTTCTTTTTTCCTCTCCCTTTTCCTTTCGTCTGGATAAATTGACTCCATTTATTAAGGGAATGTTGGTATAAGGAGATGAATATATCTATGTATATTCATGAAATAAATTATAACACAATGGATTTTTAAGGATCATCTGGACTCTTTTTTTTTTTTTTTTTTTTTTTATACAGCTTTCAATTACAGCTTTCAGAAAGCTTTTTCATTTCTAAAAATTAATTTAAATCTTAGTTATCACAATTTCAGCGGAAGTATCTATATTATAGATACATTTTAGCTTTTATGGAAAGAATCATTCTAAAACCTGTCATAGAATTTTCTAATAAGTTCAACAGGGTGCGACCAGTTTTGAATTACATGGCTTTTGTATTCAGTGTTTCACTTTGTGCTCAACACATGACAATTTATAACAAACTTTTGCCTTTCTAAAAGAAATTTGTATCTTGATCTTTTTTCCATGTCCTGACATTTTATTCAGCATTTGTTGGCTGGTCCTTTTGCACTAGAGATGGTTTTACATTATTTGGTTATTGGATGCATCACAAGGTTTTTTTCATTATCATATGAATCATTGTAAATTTTCTTATCTCTACTGTATTGGAGCTATTTGTTTGGTGTGTCATATGACCCAGAATAATTAATGCTAAAATTTAAACATTCTTCTTTTAAGAGAACTCTGATAATATTTAAGGCTATTAAGTAATTTTTTTTGTTTTTTAATTGACCAGAAAGGCTATTTCACTTTATTCAAAACAACAACAAAAAAAAAAGAAGACCTATTGAAAACCTGGTATAAATGTTTGCTGTTATCTCTTAAACAACATCACTTTTATAGTCAAATAATATCTTCCATTGTGATCTTTAGAGAAACAGGTTTTTTTTATTTTTTTTATTTTGATTTATTTTATTTAAGGAAACTGGTGAGCTGCTGCAAAAGAGAGGGCATGAATTTGGAGTGACCACTGGCAGGAAACGAAGAGTTGGTTGGCTGGACATGGTCATGCTTCGTTATTCACATATGATCAATGGATTCTCAGCGTGAGTTCATTTCCAGCCATGTTCAGTCATGCATTTTGTTTTCAAGTAAATCCAATTTTTTCTTGTATAAATTCTGATGAAATTCTCTATTTTAACAAGTTTACACCAAAAATAATTGTCCATTTTAATCTATTTGGATTTGTATATCCTGATCTTGCTTGTTATAGCAATGGTGTTTTTTGCCAGCATTTGTATCTTTCAGCCTTACATCTGTTGTATTCAGTAAGAATTTTGTGTTTACACATGGTTGTTAATTAAAACAAAGGAAATTTAAATCTTTTGAAATGTTTTCAGCGTTGCCATAACCAAACTGGACATAATGGATGTATTAGAAGAAGTGAAAATTGGAGTGTCTTATAAATTGAATGGCAAGCCTATTGAATCTATACCAGGTAAGTGTGGTTGTGTTGTGTATATATATATATATATATATAAAGTTGTAACCTCTATCTGTTATCAAACTCTTAGGATTTTGGAGATAGACCCTCCATAACCATAGATATTCTGAAACTACATTGCCCAGGATAATGGGATATTTCATTTTGATCAGAGGGGGCACAAATCCCTCACTGAAATTTTTTTTCTCCCTCTTTGATTTAAATTAAATTTAAATTTGAACAAAGGAATGACTCCTATTCAAAAAATAGAAAGTCAGAAGATGGAGGTCACATTGGCAAGATCAAAATGAGACAATATGGATGTCATGTTGACCAAGAAATCACCAATCAGTTGGTAGTGCCTTACAATATGTATTTGTTGTGACAATTCAACTGTTTTATCAATGTTGAAATCTGCTCATCAATTCATTCAATCAAGTATTGCTTCAAATACATATTAAAAAGGTCAAATCAAGCTGTTTTTGCACAAACCCCACACTGAAAATGTTTTCCCCCTTTGATTTAAATTTGAACAAGGGAATGACTCTTATCCCAAATAAGCCAAAAGATGGAGGTCACATTGACAGGGTCACTGAGTAATAGTGAAATGCATCATTTTTCTCCACAAATTATAACAATGATTTAAAATCAATCATCCTTTTCTTTTTTTTCTTTTCGGTTTTTTTTTTTTTTTTTTTTTTTTTACTATTGCTCTGTTGGCTGCCAATTGAAACTTATATCCCAATTTATGATTTAACCCAGTACAACTTGCCACATGGATAAGTGGTTGGTGCCCAAAACAATTTCCCTACTAGCTTTTCTGCTGGTGCAGAAAGTGGCATGTTACACCACAGGATGAAAAACAAGACCTGTTAAAAGGCAGCTGAGCTTCTTATAGAGGTCAACGTCTGTGTGTGTAATAATCTGTTGGTAAAATCCAAGTGAGTTGTATTAACACAACATAGAATTTTAAATATTAAATTTTAAAACTGATTTCCAAAGAGTGCTCAATGTTTATTTTCATTAAACAGAGCAAATTATTTCATACAATTGGAATTAACTGTAGAAAACAATGATCTCTGTCCAGTGGATGGGAAATGCAGAGCATCTAATATAATTTATCAGGCAACAATCTACCTAAAAGAGAACAAGGACAACCATTATGTCTATATTGGTGTTTCCGTGGGAGAATAGAAGCAACGTCTCTATACCCATTGGCACTCATTTTCCAACCCCAAATTAAAGTACCAAACTACACTTTGCAAACATTTGGGGAATTGAGGGGGAAAAGATCCCTCAGATTGACTGAAAAATAATAGGGTTTGCCTACACTCCTTTTAGCTTTATGCCTACAAGAGAAAATTAGAATCATTAAATTTGAAAATCAAGATACTCTTAAACCAAAGGAATGAATGAATTTCTAAATACCATCACTGCAGTAGATTTAAACTTACCTAGACTCTCATCGAACTGTTATCCCTTAAGTAAATGAACTGCTATCAGTTGCCTATTACACAGCACATCCAACTTCCCCTCCCCTCTTTATACACCCTTACCAATTTCTCATCTGCTTCCTTCTATATAATTCTCTCTTTCCCATCACTAAGTTACTAATTTATTCTTGGTGACTATTTATAATATCCCCACTTAGGCTAAATTTTCCCCTTCTCTTTCCTCCATTTGTGCTGATGTTGCTACATGCCTTACTTCTTACCTATCTCACACTGAACTTTTTCTAAGCTCTATACTAAACATTAAATCTGTTACGAAAAAAAGAACTAAACAAAATGAACACAAAACGATCAGCTTTAAAAAAAGGATCCGTAACTGGAAAAACTGAATGAAAAAAGAATGTTAACAACAAATACTTTTTCACACCCAACCCAGTTCTGCAGAATCGGAATCAACGTTGAGTTTAAGCAAGCGAATGAGCCAATTGGAGTAAAGTGCCATGCAGATTTAAATTTTTCCCACTTGTGACGAATGCAGCTATCGATTTTTTTTTTTTTTTTTTTTTTTTTGCTAGTTAACATTCGTGTCAGTCAGTTGTTGGCTCTCACACTGGCCAATAGAATCTTCCTGCCTATTTGTGGCAGCCAGCTATAGGCTCTCACTCTGGCCAGTAGAAAATGGCTGCAAACTACATGAAAACTGCCGCAGAAGCATGAAAAAAATCGATCATTTCCACTATCGATGGGAGCTGGGAAATGCAAAGTCTGTCTTGGCCTTCTTGCTAACTTTGTGCATGTAAATTTTGGTGCAAATCTGTTGAAAATTGCGGCCATGCATTCGTTACACACACACACACACACACACACACATCCTGTCTTTTATAGATAGATTCAGTTTAATTGTGATTAAGTTAAGATTTATTTAAGGTTTTTCTTATTTAACTCTTTGATAAAATTGCCTACAAATTCTTGATTACTTTATTGATTGATTGATCCAATTAATTTTTTTTATATATTACTCCCTTAGTTAGTTTTGACAAAAGGGGAAAAAATTTTCAAGGTAAAAATTCCTTTAAAAATTTAGTGTAAAATGTTTTAAGATTTAATTCTAATGTCATTATCCTAATTTTGTAAAATACATATAAAATTTTTTGCTAACATTAAGTTTTCTCCTTGTGGATGGGGATTTATTATTGTAAGTTTAATTGGATATATGTTGCTCCTCTGTATGTGAGGGATTAATTAAAATGTTTTATCCTAACAGGACTATATGTAGATATGTTGGTTGAGTTTATGTATGCATGCCATATGTATGGCTGTACATGTGTGTTCTTACAGTGTATGTACATTATATATATATATATATATATATATATATATATATATATATATATATATATATATATATATATATTCAAATTCTCTAAATCTTTAAAACACTTCATTTTTTAGGTTTTTTTTATATGGATAAATTTAATACACTAATAATTTCAAATTATCTCTTTCATCTCATTGAGGTTACCTCTTCATATTTTATATAAATTAGGTTTTTTTTTTTTTTTTTTTTTTATTAATTTCTGTGGACATCTGTAGAATCAAACTTCAGCCATTTTACCATTAAGATGTAGGTCAGCTCATCGGATTCTCCTCCTCCCCTCCCCACTCACTCCTACCTCCATGATATCATATCCCACATTACTTCCTGTAACTATGCTCTCTTCTGTTTTTCCTCCTCTCTGTCCCCTCTGACCATCACTAATCTTATATTAATTTGTCTTCCTTGCTACCTCTCTCATTATTTCTGTATTTCGTTCTCTCTTTCTTTCTTTCCCCAGCTAGTCAGTCATCTTCAACAAACTGACAACCATAAACAGTTTGAAAAGTCCTGCGAATTTTAAATTTAAAATTCGCAGGTGAAAATAATTCACTAATGGTATTTTAATTCCAATTGTATGAGATATATATGGTAGTACAGGTTTCAAGCCTTGACTAGTAATTTTCCTATTCCTAGAAATAGGTGTCTCAATAAAAATACACTCAGTGTACTTGGAATACCGTGAATGTTGGAGTTGGACATCAGGAAGGGCATCTGGTCTTGTAAAAACCTTACCTCAAATCATGATGGCAAATTCTTACAAGTTACAATTGTGTGAACCTGTTTCTGCCTCTACCAAAAAAAAAAAAAAAAAATGGCCATGCATGTAATTGCTCTTTAAAAAAAGAAAATGTAAACTAATTAAATTTTTTTATTTTTTTTATTTTTTTTTTTTTTAAGCATCTGATGAAGATTTAAAACGAGTGGAGGTGGAATACATTACATTGCCAGGTTGGAAAACAAGTACAGAAGATGTCCGCAAATTTTCCGATCTTCCTGAAAATGCTCGCACTTATGTCCGTACAATTGAAGAATTATTAAAAGTACCTGGTAAGTTGTTTTTGAATAGAAAATTTGAAAGACCAAAAATAAATTTCAACCTTTTAATATATATGAACAATGAAATCGACATTCAGTCGATAAACTGTTTCATGCTAGATGCAATCATCAGACCACATGACTTAAATGTTGACTTCAGTATTCATTTTTATATTTACATATGTTCTATCTCTGATATTAAGCACTTTATCCCATAAATATAGCATACTTTAAAACTATTTCTTTAAGAGAGTGATCTTTTTGATGAAAAGTGTTCAGTCTCCAATATAATTTGCTGGATTCATTGATTTTTTTTTTTTTTTTTTTTTTTTTTTCCCCCCCAGTAAAATGGATTGGTGTTGGTAAAGCCCGTGCTTCCATGATCCAAGTCTTTTGATACAACTTGAATCTGTAGTCCCTGTTGCTGGTGGTAAGCATTATAAATCTACTGCTGCAGTTTGGCCTACTGCTGGGTCCCTTCTTTTCTTTTTAACCCCCCTCCCCCGCTCCCACTTTGGCTTCTTTAAGCCAAATGTTAAGTTGTCTTTCATTCGTTACTTTGACCAGAAACTGTTTACACCATGGACATACACACACACACGTACACATTTTGAATTTGGATTAGTAGGGGAGACCTTACACCAAAGAAATTTCAAATCTTCCCATTCTTTTTGTTTCCATGCCAACTGTCTTATTCTTGTTTTTAATAAAAAAAAAAAAAAAAAAAAAAAAAATAAATAAATAAAATAAAGACATTTTTAGATTTGAAAATTTGTATCCAAGTTTTAGCTATTTTGATGCCAAGGTTTCATTTTTTTTTTTTTTTTTTTTTAATTGAATGAAGCACAAGTTCACCAGATTGTCTTTTTGGTTTACTTGTCTCTCCAACTGAATAGAAAGTGGAGATGTTCTTTAGTTCAGGCATCTCTGCTTTTTATTTTGTCCTCCCTCATTCTTTCCTTCCTTCCTTTTTTTTTTTTTATATCAAATTAAGGAAGGGAAGAATTTTAAAGGGTTTTGGTTATGGGAAAAAGCAAAACCTATCAATACTTTGGGATTGCTGGAATCGGTTCATCTTATTTGAATAAATATATCCCAAAATCTCTCCTCATTTTTTTTGTTGTTCATTTGTAAGAATCACGTGTTTTGGCTTGGTTAATTTGGACAATGATATCCAAGGAAATTTTCAAATGATTAGTGCTGTACAAAGCCACAATTTTAATTGCTAATGAAGTAATTTTTGCATTAGTTTATTTATATATATGAAGCATGGTGGAGTAATGGATATTGACTCTGATTGAGGAATCAGAGCAGAGTTTGAATTCCAGTCAAATCCATAACATTCACTTACGTGCTAATACCCTTGGGAAAGGTGTGAATCCTCTTCTTCTTCCTCCAGCTATGGGTAAATAGCAGGACAGACTGGGTTCTCAAACCTTGGATGGCAACTGGTCTCAGAAGGACAACTCTGAATTCAAAAACATGGAGGGTCGTTTGGGAACTTTGTGCACGTTATGCACCAGGTCTCTGTATTTTGCCCTTTAAAAGTGTGGATGAAACCTTCACCACTATAATCAGTTCTCATGTGCTGTTGTCAGGCTGTTTTTTCCTGGGAACTGATATATATATATATATATATATATATATATATATATATATATATATATATAAACACTATTTTAACAGTCATTACAGGGACAATCCAATTAATTTATCTACACTTGTTTATTGCCAGAAAGAAAATCAGCCTTAACTCGGTTTTTAATTACTGCTCTTCATTTGGAAAGCAACTTAAAATTATGTTCTACTTGTTTCCCTTCACCTTTTAGATGATTCTTTTGTCTAAGAATCAGTTAGCAATAGATTTCACCACAGGAAGCAAGGAGGGTTTGGAGAATTTGACACTCACAGGGCATATTAATAGTTGGAAACAAGCATGTTACAACAGAGACTAAGAAGGATAGTAAAAAGAAAAACATAGCTAAGGCCTTCAAACGATAGAAAGTTGTGGACAGCTCTGATAACCTACTTAATGATATTGCGTAAATGGATGGCTGAACAGACTTGATGGATAGTATTGCTAAAAGCGACAAAAAAAAAAAAATGTGGCTTTTAAACTTTTTAAATCTCTAAAATCATGAAACTTACAAGTTAATCTGTTGGCAGTTGTAATCTGTGCAGCATTTTGATTAGACATAAACTCATGTTTCTTTTTGAATAAATTTTACTGTCTATCAACTTGTACATTTTTTACTCTCTTCACAATAAAAAAAAAAATTTGTAAGTTGTGGACTTTCCACTTACTATGCATTAAATATGAAAAAAATATAAAGCAGAAATTGTAGTTATATAATTTAGAGAAATCCTGTAAACTCAAATAAAACAAGGTACCTTCAAACTTATTGATTAATGAGAAACATGGCATTCATATTTGACAATTCATCTGTCATAAAACTAGCAGGGAATTATTTACCTTATATACTCTTATATCAACAAATTTCATGTACAGTTACAGTGTGATTGCTGAATTTTCTTTCTTTTTTTTTCACATGGCCTGTGTATAATATTACACCAGCTTCTGAGCATGTGCCATAATATTGTGTATAATTTAGATATGAATAGTGGGGTCTGCTTTTATAATGTTTCTCAATTTTTTTTATTCCTATTCATAATATTACTGATATACTGTAAATAAAAAGCTACTAAATTTAAAATCCATTTTCATTTCACCCTGTATATTGTAGTACATCTTGTCAAAATATTTTAAGAATGTTACAGTATGAAATAAAATAATAGCAGAATATTATAAAGGATATAATAAATAAAAAAATAATATAAAGGATATAATAAATATATATAGAATAAAAAGCGACACAAATGTCTTATATATATATATATATATATATATATATATATATATATATATATATATATATATATATATATATATATAGTGGAAAATATACATACATATGAAAAATATATAAAAAAATTCCCATACATGTATATTTTCAGAAAAAATTTTCAAGAGGAAGGATCCAGGTAGAACTCAATGTCTAGGACAGAGTAAGGATATAATAAAAAGGCTTAAACACTAATATTCCATGGTCATAATTTATTCCATTGGAATCGTAAATACGATCCAAATCATCAGACCTACAAATTCAAAATGAAAACAGAAAAAAAAAACAACTCCGGAAATCAAAACAGAATTTAGAGAAAGTGTAAGTATGAGGAGGAGGACATGAAACCTTAACAGAGAGAATTTTTGGAGATGTGGGTGGGGTGGATTTAAAAAGAGGAGAGAAAGAAAGTCGACGGATGTCTAATACATAAAGATACATTTCGTGGTGACATATACACACCACAGACAATTCGGATAGGAAGGGGGGGGGAAGAAAGGGTGGGGGAGAGAGATGGGACGAAGGAAAATAAAATTGTGTTTACTTAAAGGGCCGCTTTGTAATTGGGAAAATTAGTATAGACTACATGTTATAAATCAAATATAAATATATGAAGATGAATATAACGATTGTCTCATTTCCCAAGGACCAAATATTTCTATGTTCAAAAACACATACTAATACACACAAAAAAAACATATACAAGTAGGTACATACACTTAGGCATGTACTCACACACACACCCAGACATACGTGTACATACACATGCACATATATATATATATATATACATACATATACACACACACATATATATATATATATATATATATATATATATATATATATATAAAACCTAAAAATATATTCACATATCCACACATACACATATTCATCTATATTCATATACACACACTTTTCACATACATATACACGCATACATATGCCCCATGTATACATTCATACATACTTATACATACACATACATACATACATACATATATACATACCCATACATATACATACATATATATATATATATATATATATATATACACACACATATACCCATACATCCACGCACATACACATACACTTACATATACACACTTACATACATACACACATATACACATACATACATATACATACAAATATATACACACACACAGATATACACGTATGTACATATATATAAAAAAAAGTTAAAATCTAAATAAGTGACGATTCAAATATTTGCGCGTGTATGAAAAAAAAAAAAAAAAAAAAAAATATAAAAAAATTTATATATATATACATATATATATATCTACATACATATACATACATGCACACACATACACAAACATATATATATAAAAATACATAGCGCATCACATAAATGTGCACAAAGGTACATTTAGAGATAAACATAATAGTCATACAATTAAAATGTCATGCCCGATGTTATAGGACCGAGATGGAGCCGACATAAGTGACATGTTACACAACGGTGTTCAAGTTTTGAAATGTTTCTTATGTCTACATTTAGAGAATATCTCATTCCGAAGATTCAGCAGCTCATCTCTCTGTTAAGGTTTCATGTCACTCCTCCTCATACTTACACTTTCTCTAAATTCTGTTTTGATTTCCGGAGTTGTTTTTTTCTGTTTTCATTTTGAATTTGTAGGTCTGATGATTTGGATCGTATTTACGATTCCAATGGAATAAATTATGACCATGGAATATTAGTGTTTAAGCCTTTTATTATTATATATATATATATATATATATATCCGTATTGGACAGAAGGGGTTTTGTTGGGAAAGTCATACCTCAAAGATGTAAATGATGAATGCAAAGTGGAAAAAAACAAAACCTTGATTGTTACTACTTCATTTGTATAAGGTATTTGTAGATTTTAAGCATCACACATAGCGAATGGTGTTCTATTTATGTATCGACATTAAAAAAAAAAAAAAAAAACCTAGGCTAAAGGAACTTACCTGTACTGTTAAGGTTAGCCAAAGGTACTGTGAAACTAGGCCTACTAGGTAGGTTACAGATACTGAAATTGCATGAATTTTACCTCATCCAAAGAAATTTACCTGTGTATAGTGCCAGCTGGTTACTGAAAATGCATGATTTTTAACCTCTTCAAAGAAGAAAAAAAAAATTACCTGTTTATATTCCAACCCTCACCTTTTTTTTTTTTGCATTAAAAAATAAAATTCATAAAAACTCATCCTATACTTGAGTAAATATGGTACATATAGAGTGAAGTATTTGTTCACAAAAATAGAAATATATAAAATAAACTTGTTCATATCTGTTGATTAATGCTTCTAAATTGCATAAGTTTGTGTAGTAGTAGTAGTTTATATGTAATTTCAGAATATCATGCCAGTATTTTTTAAAAGTATTTTACCTGAAATTGCAATAGTAATTCCAACAATAGAATAAGTTTGAATTCTATTTGCTTTTGTTATAGCAAAAGAAGAGAGAAGCAATCAAC